TGTTTATAAATTTTAGTCTTATCTGAATTCAAGATGCATGGTGCCCTGCTTGCATTTGTACTGTATAGTACAATAGTCTCACAATCTAACCCCAACAAACCATACAAAATTAGCTCATATGTGTTTGTTAAAATGATTTAATAATATATTAAGGCCGACCGTTTGTAAAAAATCAGACTGGCCCAGTTCTAAGACAGAGCGCAAGACCAATTTTAGTCGAACTGACTAACATCCCTAATTGTGCACATGATTTAAATTTAATATATTAGATCAATTATCACAAAAATCTGATTCACGTTAACTTAAAATTTTAAGCAACTTAATATCTAGATACTTCACCGTTTCTGGTTTTGCACGATGATATCGCGCAGCTACCTTATTTTTGTAATGAAATTTGAAAGAGTAATTCCTGCTGGAAATTAGTAAACAATTATGTAATACAGGTCAAAATTTTTAAAAATCACAGGCTATTAGCCAATCAAATCGAGGATCTACCGCGCACTTTTTGTACAGCACCTAGGTATTGTAGGTTTTTTTTGATGAGATAAAATTGCCTTTTTTTTTTGCTTAAGTAAAAAACATTAAATCGAAATTTTTATTTTAATCATCATTGTTCTTGGATGCAAGTCTAATATGTAATTATTTAAACTTAGAGAACTTTCTAGTGGCATCATTTGATAATATCTAATAAAGAATAATGATATAAGGGATTCTTGATCAAATTCTATAAGTTTGGTGATCAAAAAAAAGGCACGATAAACAAAATAAGCACTAACAACTCTATTATTTATTAAATTATTATAATTTTCGCCCTATCACTAACTATGAATTAATTTTATATTGAATTTGTGGTAATTCTATTTGATTATTAGTATTGGAAATCATAGTTTGAAGTCTTAAATTCTTGCAGCCAGGATGGCATATTATGATATTAGACATTTTAACAATGTCGAATTGTCAAAATAATTTGATTGCAGCCAGGATGGCATATTATGATATTAGATATTTTAACAATGTCGAATTGTCAAAATAATTTGATTGGATATAAAAAAAAAATTTAATTAAACTTTAGCCTAAATTAAACTAAATTCAGGCCAATATTCACCAATACAAAATATCTCTAATTTCTAGTATATTTAAAAAGTATACTGATAATTATTATTACCTTTTTTTATATATATATAAAACATGCATGCATATATGTACGTATTCACACTACCGGATCAACTTAAATTCCGAAATATATATTTGGCTATTGCCCTCGTGAAATACGATTAATCGAACAGGATGTTGAAACTGTAAAATTATTTGTAATTCAAAAATAATAATGACAACAGGTTGATTTTATTTTAAATTTTAAAATAAAAAAGAAAAACAACCAAATAAAATTAATTAGCAAAGATCAACACTTTGAAATAAAAACATTTCATTAATAATATCATTGTAAATTAAAGAGTAAAAAAAGGTTATATGAAATAAAATAAAAGATAAGTTCAAATCCTATTACGACAACACCAGAATGACTGCACAGTAACCACGAAATCCTGTTATGACAATTGGAACGGCAAAATCCTATTACGATGGCACCAGAATGAAAGAACGACACACCAGGAACGAAGACACCAGAAACGACAAAATCCATTATGACGACACCGGTAACGATCACCATAAAATCCGCAGTACTGCAGGAACTACGACGAAATCCTGCTACCTAAAGAAAGAAAGAAATGTTAAACACATTAAACTAAAAGTGAAAAAAAAATCAAATCAAAAAAAAAATGTATATATATATATTTTTTCAAACATATAAATCAAAATAAAGTAAAATAAGATCTATATTCAAAAAATCTTACCAGTAATGATATATGGGTGTGGTGATTCTGGCTCATCTTGCAAAAGATGAGCCAGAAACGCGTATGCTTTCAACACAGTTGGGTGTGTCGATGCGAGCGGCAAAGTGGGGTAATTTTTAGTCATGTAGGATTATCTTTCGGCCTATATAAAAACCAGCTATTGTCATATGTTGAGAGGATTACATATTGTAGTCCTAACTCAGCTATATACATAAAAGCCTGGTTAATTACATCTTTCGTCTTGACATCCGAAAGATAATTCAATTGTCTGTCATTATCTAAAGCCAAGACCAGTTGCCTTTTAAACTTGATCGGTGTAATTATTCGATTATAACATCTGGTCTTCCATTGCACGCAAAGTCTGAAGGTTTTTGTTTTGCAAAAACAAAATTATCTCCCAAGAGATCGTTTAGTACCAAGAATATATTGACAGTTATTGCCACATAACTGTCATCCTCTGTTCAAATCGATATATTCCTGGTAAAATTTGGTTCATCAAATCTTGGTGCATGGCCAAATCTATAGTGATTTGCCACCGAAAAAATTATCCCAAGTATCTACACTGGTTGGGGTTGGACCGCCCATATACCGAGTCATTCGAGATCCGCTAGTATCCTCTGGATACATTACAGGTGGCGGAACGTAAGACAGTGCTTGTTTTTGACGATTGTTTTTCATTTTTTTTTATTATTTGGGGGCTTGGTGATTCATTTTTCGAGACACAAATTTGTAGACCTTGAAAAAAGGAGAAGAGTAATATTTGTGTAATAGAGGGAGCTTTTAGGTGAAAGTTTTAAAATGTATTTTCGTCGATTTGTGTATTTTATATTGTTATAAGATGTAAACAAATCGGGTGACCTGTATTAAAAGGTAGAACACGTGAATGACTTCCTTTTATGGGTTGAATCAATCGTGTAAAAAACAGGAGTCACGTACCCGATCCAAATTGAATCCCACACATGGCGTGATCTATTAAAATTAAAATTATTTATATTAGTTTTAATTGATGTGATTCACTTTGTATCGGGTACGTTCCCTTCTGTTTTATCGTGTAACGGTAGATCTTTACCAGCATAATCGTATTTCGACAATACATACGTACGTAACGTATTCACTTTTTTTTAAAACCACTACAATCTAATTTGATCATGTTACTCATATAATACTTATTACGGTATATCAATAATCGTTTTTTTTTTTTATACTTTTGTATCTTAAAAGGCTTTATATTAATCGCTTGAGTTGTCAGAAAAAAGTCGCTGGCTAAATAAACAATTTAGCGTTATCATTAATTTTGTAATCAGCGATTATTTATTTTTATTTGCAAGCCTATTACTGTATTTTATAACAAGATATAATGTACATTATCAAAAAAAGGCTGTTTATTTTATTTCCGGATAACTCCTTTTTTGTTTTCTGATTTCGAAATTTCAAACCAAAAATAAGACTTTTCAAGCTCCCATTATTTTCAAATTAAGTTAACTCTGAAACCCCATTAAATTAAATAAACTTCGGGTTTTTAAGTTTATTAAATGTATATTAATGCACTACATATCAATTTTAATGAGAAATCGCTTGATGCTACATCTTACAAATTTATCTGTGCCAGTATGTTTTAATTCATTCTGTTATTTCATGAGTACTATGGCTTTTTGATGATGTTATTTCGCGTTGTTCAGAAAATATGAACGATCTCTAATTTTTACTTAATGAAAATGAACTTTTTTTTTTAAATTACAATCCCCTTTTATTGATTAATAAACTTCACAAAATAGGACGAACATAAACTGGTTATTTATGTTGTACTCACGGGCAAGGCCAATAATTTTCTGCGTTCACGAAAAATCACGAAATTGGTTCAATCATGGCCCGGATTTAGGATCTAAAGTCAACATACTGCTTGCTAACATTAATTTGGCCAGAATTTGCGGATTATAATGCTGGCCGACTCTGCGTAATTCTGGCCAATCGCAGAAAATCATCGGCCCTGCTCACGGGCTCAAAAAAAATTATATATATATATCATCGATATAATTGAATCGAAGAATTTTGGCTGAATTTTTTTTTTCTTTTTTAGCGAGAGCACTAGAGTTCGTCTTTTTGAGTATAGGGTTTCGTCATTTTAAGTTTTAAGGCTTCGTCTATCGTCAGCATGCGAAAAAGGTTTCGTCTTTCATCATCATGTGAAAAAAGTTTTGTCTAACCTACCCTAATCCCACCAAACAAATAGTAGGTTATTTCCTTGTTAGGCGCAAATAAGTAAAATCAGGATGGCCTTGAAGAGTAAGAATCGATGCACTACCAAAATGGGAAACAATGAAGCACTTATTCGGAAATTTACGTCTGTTGAAGAATAATACGTTATCGTTATCTTATAAATCTAAAAGCATTTTTCGCGTGTATGGCATTAAAATTTGTCTTAATAAGATAGATTAAATTTGAAAATGGTATAGTTTTAAAACAAATTTGCGGACGTACAGTACCATTGCGGCGAATTTATGAAATACCCCAAAATTTGAAAATTTTGACCACTAATTTGTAAACACTGATTTGGTTGAGATAATCAATGTTTCCCAAGTTAAGGTGCGTCGTTATAATAAATTTATATATCTAATGAGTGGGAAAGCTAGGTCAGACACGTTATCAGTCTAGATCAGGGGTTCAATATTGATTTATTAATATGCAATTTGGTAACTAAAGTTTAATTTAGGGACATACTCGGATTTGGTGACCAAATTTTAGCTTAATTTCATAAATTCGCCGTGATGCATATATATATTTTATATAGAAAAAAATATCGATTTTTCGTTTCAACAAGAATGAATTTAACCAATTTTTTAAATACGAATAAAAACAAAGATAACAAAGATGAAATTATTTCATTTTTTCATGTTCATATACCATTTAATACAGGCTCGTATAAACCCTCAGTTGTGGGTAGTTGTGAAGCTTTAGGCCATTGGAAACCTAAAGTATGGTTGCGTCAGTTTCAAGATTCTACTCTTTGGGTATCTGGTCCTGTGAAAATTCCACATTTGCATGTTGAATATAGATATTGTTTAGCTTCACCAGAAAATTTAAATAAATTAAGTACAGAAGGTTCTAGAACCGAACCCAATAGACGAATTGAGTTTCCTGGAAATATTTATGATATTTGGAAAGATAATGAATATTTTAAAAAAAATCAACCCTTAAATGAAGAATGTTATGCGATTGTTGATTATATCTACAAGAGTATTGAATCTTCTCATAAACCATATGCTGGAATAATTGATTACATCCGTGTTTTAAAAAAGAACAGGACAGAAGAGTCTAATAAAATTATCGGCTTCATTAACCAACGTTTATTTGAAAGCAAAACAAAAGAACAAATGTTATTTTTGTGTTATTTCCTTGGTTACTACATGGAATACCAATATAAAATACGCTGTCTTCCGGATAATTTCCCATCCTCTATCATGATAAAGGAATTTAAAGACTTCGATTGTTGTCATAATCTGGTATCCAATGCAAAACCTATGGTCGTCAATGCCGTTAAAATTTTGGTTCAACATAATTCTAAATGCGGTTTTCTAGATTGGATCATAATATTTGCGCTTGCACCTATATTTGATACGTCATATTCATTCGTCGATTCAATAGAAATATATGATTACAAAGAGAAACCTGACTACTTCATAAAATTATTGAAAGAAATTAAACCTAGCATTGATGATCTTCAAAATTTCGATTCCAGCGTATTAAATAAAGTGATGAATAAGCTCGTCATGATATCAAATGACGCGGAATGTCTCGCACACCTGCAGGAACATTTTAAATATTTGGAGGATAACGACAATTTTAAACGTGAAATTCGTAAAAAACTCTTGGAATTGTTTAAAGGAAAAAAGCAACTTTATGGGGATTATGGGAGTTATTGGAATTATGGAAATTATGGGAATTGTGAGAATGACGAAAACATTTCCTCACTTTACAGGCTTCTTAAGGAACCTAATTTGGGGTGGCAACACAGTGAATATGTAGACATACTCAAAACAATTGCTGATTCTAATCAAAAAATTGTATTGGAATCTTTTCCTGAAGTTTGTAAATTTATCTCGGGGTTGAATTTAGAGAAAATTAAAAATGAACTTGAGAAAGCATCGATCAAATGGTTTATAAATATCTGTAAAGAAAGATCGACCTACGATATCTTCCAATATCTTTCAATGATGCATTCAACTTCGACACATAGCCGAGAAATTTTAAGCAAGTTGTTGAATCATAGAATTACGGCGTCATTATCTGATGATTCTATATTTTCCATTACATCCCGTATTGATGATTTTCATGAAGATATAATAGCTCATTTTTTATCTTTAGTAAAAGACAGAGTTGGACCCCTTGTTCAAGATCCTGATGAGCACCTATTTGAAAAGATTATGCGGATCTGTAACAGCACGGAGAGCTTGAATACCGAAATCGGTATGGAAGATTGTAATTTAATCTATAAAGGAATAACAAATTATATCTCAAATTAATACGAATTTTCAATTTAGTGCTTGCGAAGAAACTTTATATTTTATACTCGACCGCTTGCAACAAATAAAAGAAATTAAATTTTCCGATGAAGAATCTTTTCAACTCTCGTTATTTCAATCTGCGAAATTTTGGATGGCAATATTTAAAGCAAAAGGTTATACGCAAAAACTACGTTCTCATCCATATTTTAAAGAAACATGCAAAGTGGTGATTAATTTAGCTATGAGTATTAGAAATCACACCATCACAATAAGATTGCTTCGAAAAATATTTAAGTGCTTTAACAATAACGACATAGCTCTCAAGGATTATATTAACTCTGTTATAGATAATTATCAAGAAGAATATGATACAATTACAGAAGAAGTTATAGAAGGGAAGTACAATCAATGTTATGAATACGATTCAACTTTGGAACGTCTCCAAAAATTTTATGAAAAATTCTGTCCTTCTCAATTAGTCCAAAACGTGAAACAATATATAGACGATTTAACAAAAAGATCAATTTATACCACACTTGGAGAATCACACATCAAAAATCATTGGTCCATGCACTCCAAGACTATTAAGATTATGAAGAATTATTATCACTTTGTTAAGTCGCAAACTTTTTATAACGTATTTCAAATTTTATTGGAAGCAAAATTGACAGTTAGACAAGTGATGAATAAAACTATATTGAAAACAGAATTGACAGTTAAAAAAGTGATGAATAAAATTATTAAAAAAGCCATTGAAAACTATAAGGCAATATGCAAAGAATATGATAATTGGGAAGAAATTAAATGTTCTGTTGCAAACAATTTCTGGAAATATATCGATGCAGAACACGTTGAAAAAGAAATTAGTTTTATGGCCCCCTATTTTAATAAGCTCAAGTCGAGTTGCAATTCTTGTCATAATTCATCAGAAACAACAACGAACAATTATCAAAGTTTAATCAGTCAATAAAATTTTTAGTTAATACCTCATTAAAATTAGGAAGACTACATCAATTTGTGAAAATGATTAGAACATTGGACATCATTCCGCGTGATCATAATTTTTGGGCCGAAGAGCTAAAAAATAATTTGGAAGATAAAGAGTTGTTACTTTACCAGTTGTGCGAAATTTTTGATCAACTTAATGAATTTGAGAAGATGTTGACAAACGAAATTTGGGCAACAATTACGGAAATCTCTTCTGCTATAGATTTTGTTGTTTACCTTAAGTCACTTGTAGGACATGATCTTAAACATTTAATCAATGGAGTTGATGATCATTCAGATGAACGATTGATCAAAGAAAATACTGTTCAGAAATTTATCCAATTAAAACAGATATTGGAGCCTTTATTAGAGAAGAGATATACTGTAGTGCAAGAGTTTTTGCAAATCCTACGTGAAATCATGAATATGAATCCATCTCTGAATTCCATGCTGCGACTGTGTAATGCAAACGCCCAAGCATTAAAGAACATATATAGGAACATTGCGAATCGTGGAGAGATGACAAAAGAAAAAATCTTCTATTCAGTAACAAAAGGAGTATATTCATTTGAGAGAATGAAAGATTATGAAAACAAATACACAGCAAAGCTATCATATTCTTCTAACATTTCACAAAGCGATGTTTCAAGTTACACTTTTGCTGACCTTCGGGATTTACGTAGTCGTGCTTTATACAAAGGCCTTCAATAATGAGAAAAATTCAGATTATGAAAGTGCTAAAACTGACGAGATCACATCGGCTCACATGAATGAATTTGTCATTATGGTTGATCTCGCGCAAGAAATAATTGAAGCTGCTTCATCGCTAAAGGAACTTGGACATTTTAAATACCGTAATTTTAAGGAAAATACGCATTCAATTTCAAATATGAAAACATTGTTAGAAGAGTTGCTTAAAGACTTACAGAGTTGGAAAAAAATCGTTAATGAAGCACAACAAAACCATTATTATTTAACCTTTTTTCTGGCACAACATATTTTAAGCTTTTATGATTATTTTTCACACAAAGAAGAGAATGTAGACGCACAATATAATATTAAAGAAAAATGTTCGTTACTTTTGAAATTTGTCAATGAGAAAGCTAAACTATCGGACATTACTTCTGATATCTTTATGATCCCTATTGAACCTAAAAATTACTATGATATACTCTGTAAAATTGGCACTGTATTATATGAAATTTTCAGTCAAATTCCTACCATGCAACGCCAAATAGCAGATATTGTTAAGTATGACATAGTGGAGGTAGTCTATCAGGAGCGTCTTTTTATTGAACAAGTAATGATAGATTTCGAGTACCGAACATTATCTTATCTTTATTCAACTCACATAATAAATGCTATCCAGAAGCATGGCAACTTTTAATTTGTAAGTGCTCAACCACAGTAGAAGAACTCCTAACCTTTGTAAAACGATGTTTTTTTGCCACAAAAAGTGGATATGGAGAACACTTGTTTTGTATTGCAAATGTAGAATTGCTGAATTTCGAATTGCAATATCAATTGGCATTAAGCATACGTTCTTTATGTCAAAAAGAAGAACAATTTTATTTAGCTTTAGTATGCTGTCTCAAAAATAATATGCAACATCATATACTTGATCAATTTTCAGAATGTATACACCCGATTCAAGGCTTTGATGCAAATTCTATGCACAATATTTTTAAAAAATTGTGCCCCAATGTATTGACAGTTTCCTCTGATTTATCCGGGCAAGGAAAGACAAAATGGATTGAAGAGCAAAGTTTCACTCATGGATTGACTCCCCGAAAATTTTTAATAAGTGACGGAATGACATTTGGAATGCTTATTCATCAATTATCAGAATTCAGATTAAAAAATACCGAGAGTTTACATTTAAATATCATGCAAATTGACCACCATTACGATGTAAACATGTTTCTATTTGAATTGCTTTCATTTAAAATTGTGAAAGATAGAACCGAATTCCTGAGCATCCCATCGACATTAATATATATAGAAATAGAATCGACCATGAACCGAGATTTACTTAACTCTATTCCGATTATCGAATATTTAGAAAGAAAAACATTTGATATGGAGTATCAACAACCTGATCATTCCGCAAGATGCGGACAGCCCTATTTAAATTGTCACGAGATATTTAGATGCACATAATCTTAATACGATTAATACAGTTGACATCGATCTTGATATAAAACAGCTAGTTCCCAAAACGTGTTGTCGACAGCTATTACAGAAATATTTCTTTGATAAAATCTCACAAGATATCAAGACCTATCGTTTTCTTGAAATATTTGTCAATGTTCTTGCAGATCAATTGAAACGAATGTCGTCCAGCGAATATTTTCGCGTGAACACATTAGAGTGGATGGCAACAAAAAATCCAGTTACATTTTATGAAAAGTTAACAGAATACCTTGGTTATCCGCTTCCTGTGGTGAATACCGCACTAAAAAACATTCGAAAAACATTGCTAGAAACATTAATAGGTGTATCTATGAATATTGCGACTCGTTCTGTAGATTCTAAGAAGAATCAGTTCAAAAATTTACTCAATGATAGGAACGAGGACATAAGCATCAAGCCTTGGGAAGATTCGAATCATTTACTAGTAATTTTCTTATCTCAATCTCCTGGTTCGATCTGTGCGCTTTATCGTGATAAAAATAAAGTTCCGAAGAATGTCAACCTTTTATTGGGAAGCCAGAATTCCACATACGAATTAGATGATTATGATAATATGTCTTCTAAAGATATCTTGAAGAAATTGGAAGATTTTGCACGAACAACACATGAACAGCGTGAATATGCACCAGATACATATGTACTATCTACAGATAATCTTTTGAAAATGGCTTTGATTTTATTAAGATCAAGAGCAAATATACCGGTGGTAATTTGCGGTGAAGCTGGATGTGGCAAGGTGATAACTTTAAAATTTTTTTTTTAATATACTTTTAAACAATTGTGAAATTAACACACTATCTCGTTAATATTGCTTTAGACGAGTCTTATCCAGTTCCTTTCAATTGTTGTCAATGTCAAATTTCTGATTCTAAATCTGCATACAGGTGTAACTAAGCAACAAATACTTGACTTTTTATATAATGCAGAAATGATTGCAGAAAAAAGTGAAGTATGGGTATTTTTTGATGAAATTAACACATGCGAGCATATTGGTATTTTCGCGGACCTCATCGCTCATAGGTTACTTCTAGGTATGTATATCTTCTCCCACTTATAAATTTTTTAACTAATAATTGTCACGTTATGATAACGGTTATGAACTGAAGTTTATATTTGTTGTAAATTTTAGGAAAGGAAATTCATAAAAATATTAGACTCTTTGCTGCGTGCAATCCTTATCGTTTGCGTAAAAAGGCTGCCACACACAAGCAGGACTTCAGGCAGACAATTATGAAGAAAGGAGTCAGCTTGTCTATCAAGTACGACCACTTCCTGATCAAATATTAGACTATGTTTGGGATTACGGTGTTCTAAAGCCTTCGGATGAAAAAATCTATATAAATATGTTAGTCAAAAAATCCCAGGAAATTCTACCAAAAGCACATTTATTCACAGAGCTTTTATTTGCGTCTCAAGAATTCGTAAGAACCCATGAAGGAGTGCACAGCGTGATGTAAAGAGAGCGATAATTATATTTAAATTTTTTATCAAAAGCCTTAATGAACGTCAAAAAGAAAAATCTGAAGAACAAAATGGCATCAAATCTAAAGATCTTCAAATGGAACAAAATATTATAAAATCCTATATTTTAGCATTAAGCCTCTGTTATCAAGTTCGATTTTTTGATCAAAAGTTACGCAATCTATATCAGGACGAAATATTGTTACGGGGTGATTTGTATCCTTTGATATGAAATACGAAAATAGATAGTTTTTAGGTGATAAGGCAACTCGCCAGAGGCGTGACGATGGTGATTTAGAAATAGTTTAGTTTTAAAATGATATTATCAAGGTGATTTATTCAATGTTATATGTAATAGTATTAGAATCCCGTAGGA